CATGTGGGTGGGTGCAACCATGTACAAAATGTAGTGTCCATCTATCCAGACCAAAGTAGCGTTTCAGGGCAAATGGATCGATCCTTGTCTTATCTCAACTTGAGTGAGCATTACTCTCAATCCTATCACGGCCTTCCAACACTGCTTTTGAGAAAATGAATCGTGGTGCGCTGTAATGCTTTAAAGCATGGAATGTACAATGTACATGTAAGACCATGTTGATTTGATTAATATATGGATGACAAAAAAACTTATTTGCAAAAAAAAGTTTTTTGAAATCTATGTGGTCATGAAGGTTGAGCAAATGACACAGAGTATGGTTTGGCGAATAATCTACTCTTCAAATTTCTTTACATTTTTGTCTTTTTTTTTTGTTTGATTTTGGCATTCTATGACATTGGTATTGTTTTTTTCAAATTTCTTTACCTTTTTGTCTTTTTTTGTTTGTTTGATTTTGGCATTCTATGACATTGGTATTGTTTTTAAATATTCTTTTTGCAACTTACGGTATATATTTGCTCGTTTTGCCACTGTTTTGTACGACTTACAGTATGGTTGAAAACTTTTTTTTTGGAAACGGCCGAAAATTCATGCATGCGCGGATGTCATCCATATAATCAAATCAACATGGCCTAATGGATTATTGGATTCTGAGCTTCACAATCATGGTTGCTCTGAACTGTATCTTCAGGTGCACGAGGTTTAGAGAGGATTTTTCTTCATGGCAGATTAACTTCAATTCAACAATGTATCATTTTATCAGTTACCAACAACAAGATGGAATATCAAGACCAAACACTTGCTTCGGATGTCAACAATGTTTTATATTACAAGGAAGCATGAAAGTGTAAGTCTAATTATGTTGGTACTTACAGAGCTAAAACTTTGTCCCACCAGATAAAGTTTGTGCATCAAAGTTTCCACAATAATTTTTTATTATTTGTATTCCACTCAGTCTTCTTCTGTAGCATTTTATGTGCTTTCCTACTGTGCTGGAACAAATTATTAACTCAGAGTCTGAATGTACTGCCTCTCACAGAATATAATATGTACCTCTCAATGAAAATGTAATACTTCACTATCAAACGTGGTTATATTTAGGGCAGGGATATGTTGCATGCAAAAATTGTTCAATATGAATTCAAAGCACTTAAATCCAAGTCTGCAACAGTTTTGGAACCCTGTAGATACTAAGCTGGAATTACATTCAGTAAATGTACCGTACACAGTAGACTTCAATCTATCCAAATGTCATGGAGGCATATCTATGAGGATAGACTTA